GAACCAGACCTGCCTGTCCCGTGGCCAGAGAAACCCTCCAGAATGCTCGGGGTTGACCATATCCCTCTTTCCCCACCATGCATGCACCTGGACTATGAACTTGGGGCAAGGCCAGGAGGGGACAGGGTCACTATGCTGGTGACTGGTGCCTCCCTTTAGGTGCCAGGACTGCAGGTGAGGAGAAGGGATATTCATTTTTGTATTGCTGCAGTTTTTACAGCTAACAAATATTTATCACACTTACAATTCGAAGCACCAATACCTACAGCCCCAGCTGGAGACAAGGATGATGGGCACGGCCTGTGGAAGGCACCCTCCAGAAAGTTCACAGCATGTTGTTCACAGAAACCAAGAACTAGAAACCACCACCCAATGCCCATTAGCAGAACAGAGAGCAAACGGGGGCATTTGCATAAGGGAATGTTACGGCCACAGGAGGTCCGGGAGGAAGCAAGTCCTACAGAGCTAGAGGCCTGCGGGCTTTAAGGCCAATGAAAACATGATCGTATGCTGTTCAGACATTCAGACATGGGTAGGAAGATGATCCAACTATTTCTTAAAAGTAGCACGGGGGATGACAAACATGAACTGCTAGGCAGTGGGGGGAGGCAGAAGACAGGGTGAGGAGGAGCTTGGGGGCAGGGGAGTTACCCTGCTGCTCTGCTCCCCTTCTGTGTGGGCTGTGGGGGGGATGTGTTAGTAATAATTTAACAAACAATAAAATGAAATGTCACTCATGGTGCAATTGTTACAGTGAGTCCTAAACTAAGGATTAGGATTTATCCAATTCTAATTCCCTCAGGGCCAAAAATAGAAAAAGAGCTAAAAAGATGAACAGCATTCAATCACTAAAAAAGCTTATGTCAGGGCCAGCAGGTGGCATGGTGGTTAAGGCGCTGGACTCCACATGGCAGACTGCAGTTCAAGTCCAGGATACAGTAGCTTGAAAATCATACCAGGTGCACGTGCGTGTGTGCCCAAAACCCAGAGAGGAGAGTGAAGAAGGGACAGTGGAGTGGTCATCCTCCCTGGAGGGTTGATCTCTCACATTTTCCCTCTCTCTAGCAAGTACATGAGCCCCACGGGGGGGGGGGGGGGGATCAGAAGACAGGGTGAGGAGGAGCTTGGGGGCAGGGGAGTTACCCTGCTGCTCTGCTCCCCTTCTGTGTGGGCTGTGGGGGGGATGTGTTAGTAATAATTTAACAAACAATAAAATGAAATGTCACTCATGGTGCAATTGTTACAGTGAGTCCTAAACTAAGGATTAGGATTTATCCAATTCTAATTCCCTCAGGGCCAAAAATAGAAAAAGAGCTAAAAAGATGAACAGCATTCAATCACTAAAAAAGCTTATGTCAGGGCCAGCAGGTGGCATGGTGGTTAAGGCGCTGGACTCCACATGGCAGACTGCAGTTCAAGTCCAGGATACAGTAGCTTGAAAATCATACCAGGTGCACGTGCGTGTGTGCCCAAAACCCAGAGAGGAGAGTGAAGAAGGGACAGTGGAGTGGTCATCCTCCCTGGAGGGTTGATCTCTCACATTTTCCCTCTCTCTAGCAAGTACATGAGCCCCACAGCGGGGGGGGGAGGCATATGTCCCTCTCCTCCCTGAAACACACATAGGTTCATGGCGATGTTATCACCATCACCCCAGGCTTTCCTGGAAAATCACACAGCGACATGTCTCCTACCTCGCTGTGTGGAGAGGGATCTGGGCTCTGACTTAGACAAGGTTAAGATCCCAGCTCATCACTTGCTTATCATGTGACTTCAGGAAAGTGACTCTTTTCTTCGTTCCCCTTTTGCAGGCCTCTGAGGTAAGGGTTAAATAACGCAGGGCCAGCTGGCGGTGTGCTATTTAAGGTGGCTGGATCCCACATGTCCAACTGTGCTGGTCAAATCCTAGACCTAGCGGCTTGAAAAACCACATATACATGCATGCCAAAAACTTCCGAGAGGAGAACTAGAGAGGGGATTGTGGCATGGCCATCCCTCTAGAGGGTACTTCCTCATGTTCTCACCTTTATCTTTCTGGTGAGCACACATTCCCTGTAATAAAGTAAATAATAAATGCAGATGTGTGTTTAAAAAAGTATCATGTGTGTAAGGTGTGTAAAAACGACATACTTGTATTTCATGCAAAATACTTGGTAATTGTAGGTGCTACCAGTGTTTGTTGAATAACTTGAATGTAAAGCAGTTTTTGTGCTGACGCCTGTCGCCCCCTTGTGATCCCTAACAGGAAAAGCAGCTGTCGGGAGGCAGAGGTAGCCTCCAGGTAAGAGCAGAGCACAGGTGCTGGGGTGTGAGGAGGTAGAACCACCTTCTCCTCACAGAGCCTGGCCAGGGTCAGGAGCGTGGGGGCCACCGAGCCTTGGTGCTCGCCTGGACCCCAAGTGGTCAGGTCACGGCCACAATGGCCCTGCTGGCCGATCTCGTGACGCCCAGCCGACTTGCACAGGTAGGGCGCTCCTACCTGCAGAAAGGTCAGGGCCGCTCTCTGCAGCAGGCACTCCGCATAGCAGACCTCAGCGTGGATCTCCTCTGTGGGGAGAAAACCGAAGCCTATGACTCTAGACAGGAGGTCCCACTTCCTCAGAGGCCAAGGCAGTCTGTGTCAGCACCTCCCTGGCCCCCATCTGTCACCCAGGTTAGGTCCAGAGCTCGCCCCACCATGCACCTTCCTCCCCTTCATCTTCTGCCTTGGTCCACGTCCCCCACCCAGAACGTCAGCATGGCCTTGTTCTCTGCACATCCCTACAGAAGTCGTGTCCCCCTCCACGCCCTCCCACCCCCAGCTGGAATCTTCCAGGGCTCTCAAGGTGGCTAAGGCCATTTTTTCCTGTGTGAGAGAGCCGGATTGTTCCAGGCTGGCTACTGCTGCCTCCAGGGACAGGGCCACATGGGCTACACAGGCCAGACCATCCTGTCACCGCTGTCCACTGCCTTGTCCCAGAGCTTCAGCTACTGAAACCCTCTGAGGCACACAGGCATGAAGGTAACTGGATCCATAACCGAACCGCACACACGGTTCTAAGCACCTTGGCCTGAGAAGCAAAGCCCAGGGCCTTGGGACAGCTTTCCCTTCCCTTCTCTTCCAGGTTCTCAGCTGGTGGTGCTGTCAGCTGAGCGAGTCTCACCACCTCCCCCAGCACCACTTGTCAGAGGGCCCCAGGATGGACCCTCTGAGTCCCACACCTAGACCAGGGCGTGGCCCCCTGTGGGGATAGCTGGGAGGGTAGCTGCCCCTTCCTGCCCCTCCCTGGGCCTGGACCTGGGCCACCTGGGCTCAGTGTGGGTGAGAGGGCGTCCCGGATGCCACACCTTCTGTGAACTGGTCCATAGTGGGGCGGTGCACCAGGCTGCTGAAGGAATCTGTTACGGAAGACTTCCTCCGGTGCCTGGAGGGGAGAGGGTCACTCAGTGAGGGTGACAGACAGGACAAAGGCTCAGGTCACACTCATCTCTGCCCCTTCCCGTCACTCTAGAAAATTCCTAGAAAGGTAGCACTAGAAGAAAGGTAGCACATAAGCTTTGGGGTCAGAGAGAAAATCTGAAATTCTGGCTTTAAAAAAGGTACTTTCCCTCTGTGAGCCTCAGTGTTCTCCCTGGTAAAATGCGGACCATTAACATCTGTACCGATCATGGTGGAGTGTAGAGAGCAGCCCTGTGGCCTGTTCCACCTGTCCCATCCTCAGACTCCTCTCCTTAATTTAGGCCTCTTCATGCAGCCCAGCCTACCCCCTGCCCACCCAGGGCTTGGTGCCGTTCACCCTCTCCCTGCCAGCTGGAGGGAGCGGAGTCTAGAAGGCTCTCCTGCTCAGGACCTGTCGGACTCTGCACTGCCCGCCCCGAGGACACAACCTGGGCTCTTGGCGGCTTCCAGCATGTAGGCCCCTCCCAGCATTCCTCAGACACCTGAGCGCCCGGCAGCCCCCCACACCCAGGGCCTTCTCTTACCTTCCCCAAAGCTGTCACCTCTGCCTCCCCCCACTCCATGCTTCCCTCTGCCCTGGCCACTCCCCATCACCCTTCGGGACCCTGCTCAGGTATCCATCTCCACCAGGAAGGCTTTCCTGCTCTTCTGGCTGGATCCCCACAAGTCCTAGAGCTTTCCCTGCCTCATGCTGGGATCTCACTGGCTGTGCTGATCTCTCTGACCACACTGTGCAGGCACCAGTTCTGATGGTTTTCAGGGTCCCCAGGGCCCAGGACAGGACCTGGCCCAAAGCAATGTGACAAGTGAACCAAGACTCCATTGGTGCACCAGCACTCGGCCCACTGGTCCATTCGCCCCAGCAGGGAGCACAGACTGACACTAATTACGCCCCAGGTCTGGTGTCTTCGTGCAGTCCCCAGGACAACCAGGGCATCTGCTTCATCACACCCACTTTGCAGGTGAGGACAGTTAAGTCCAGAGAGGGGCCTACCCAAGGACAAAGAGTTATTAAGTACAGAGCTAGGGTTCATTTCTCCCAGTCAGGCTGGTCCCCAGAAACTGCCCAGAGACAGGCTCTGACTAGGTTCCCAGGCAGTGCTGGCAGGGACAGCTCCAAGCGCTGTGGACACAACTTCCTTAGCTAAAAGCAGCAGCACCAATACGAAATTTTAGGTGCTGCAAAAGGCCTAGCCCCTGCCCCCACTGTGGCCCCAACCTCTGACAGAGCAACTGTGCCTCCTTCATCATGTTGCCAGCAAGCAGAATGTCCTGAGGGTCAAAGGTCATCATGGCCTGCATCTCCAGGATGGTGGCATATGTCAGCGAGTGGTACATGCTCTCCTTGGTCCTGCGGGAGAGAAAGGACATCGAGAGTGCCCGGTCCTGGAGCTTTGAGGTGACTGGCCCTGTGTGAACTACCCGCAACCCCTCCCATTCTGCAGGGGGAGACAGAGGCCCAGACAGGGAGGTCCATGCCCAAGGTCTGACCCTTCCAGTGCTCTCGAAAGGCCTCAGATCCTGTTCCCAGCTCATCCCCTGCCTGCAAAGTGGCTCTAAGTGATCGTTCAGGTCGGAGGTGGCAGCAGCAAGGCTGCTGAGGACTGAAAGTGGCTTAGCGGCGTGCTGGCCTCCAGCTGCCCACCCATGTGCAGGGCCTGCCTCCTGCCACCCGCCCTCACCTCCAGCAGGCTGGGCCCACGTCCTGTCTGTGAGATCCTCCCCGTTCCCAAGCCCCAGCCTTACCCATCCCCACTGCAGGGAGTTCTCTTCTGGCCACCTATTGCCTCCTCTGGCTGTAGCCCTGCGATCAAACCCTCCACTCCACACGAGCAAGCCCTGCCCGCTGCTCCAACCCTCCTGCTCTGCTCCCGCCCCTACCCTCCACCCTGCCCTGCGACCTGGTCACATTTCCAGACTTTTCTCCAAGAAAGCCCCACTTCCCCTTGCAGTCCTTGGCCCACGCTATTCCCTCAGCTCGAAAGGCCCTTCTCAACCTTCCTATCTCCTGACTCGTCAAATGCCTCCAAGGCCACTGGGAACCAGGGCTCCTCCTCGGGGACCGTGCGTCTGTAACTGCGGCACGGACCACACGTAACTAAGATCAGCACAAGCTCAGCCCTCACCCCAGACTGTGGGTACCTTGAGGACACAGCTCATGTGACACATCTCTGTCCTCAGCAGTGTGTCACAGCTGAGCCAAGATGGCTTCATGAGATTTCTTTGCCTCTGCCTCCCTGCTCCTCCACAGCTTCAAGGCTTTTCAACTAAAGAGTATTTTCTTCTTTTATTACAGACAGAGAGGAAGAGGGAGACAGAGATAGGTATGTCTGACAGGGTCTGACTGCTGGGATCTTCCTGGCCCAGCTTCCTAGTTAGCCAGGACTCCAGGCCTGAGCAAGTGCACCCAGTGTGTTCAGGTTGGCCTGGAACTGGACTGGGCCTCCCGTGTAGCCTCCAGCCTCCCAGGTGGTGGTGTTATGTGGGTGGCACGGCCGGGCCGTCTACTGCTGGGTGATTGGTGGGAGAGGTGAGCATTTAGTCTAACACACAGCAAGGATAGTGGACGAGAAGGAGGGAACAATGCCAGCCCATCTGTATACGGGGTGGGGGTGGGGGGTCACTTAACTTGTCTGAGCCTTGGTTTCTGCTTCTGCAAGACAGGGATGGTAATGCTGGCCTGGCCCTCAGGGGGCAGTCGGTGCTGCCGTGCTTTTCACTCACTTCCTCACAGCCCTGTGTCAGTTCTTTACCAAACTCCTCGGTGCCAGGCTGATGCCAGGAACATCAGAGCTAAGAGTGATGACGAAGGTTTACAGACCATTGTATTGTCCAGTCATGTGACTTCACCCATTTTCCTGCCCTTCTTGTTCACAGAACTAAATGAAGTGGCTTTTTCACTCTGGATGACCCTCAGATGATAGGATCCTTGAGGGTCAAAGGTGTCCGAAGGAAACGAAAGGCTGGTCTGCCCCTTAGCAGCCGGCAGCTATGAGGACACCACCAAGCCGGTGAGGAATGTTTAAGGACAGTGCTTCTAGAAAGGAGGTGCCTGTCGGCAGTGTGGGGCAGAGTCCCTCAGACGTAGTGGGGATCTTGGCTTTGACAGTTGCCAGCTGTGTGACCTGGTACGTCTCCTAGCCTCTTCCAGCCCCGAGTTTCTCCTCCGGAATGAGGACAGTAACCCTTCTCTCCCAGGTCTTTTAGAGTGGCTTAAATAGGATACCCAGGCCAGAGGCCACATCACCAATGTTCAAAACTGTGATCCTTCCCTGCTGGGGCCAATGTTCACTTTCCTGCATAGAAAGTTCCTTGGGGGAGGGTCTTCCCAGGCACGGAGAGACCTGTCCCCTCACCTTCCGCCTCCTAGGCCTCTGCAACTCTCAAGCTCTGCCTCTTCCTGTCCCACTTCAGGCCTGAACCCTAGGACTCAGGCCCAGCTGCCCAGCCCAGTCTAGTGCTGGGCCTAGGAGGAGGGGCAGCCCCACCTGGGAGCTGGCAGACAAAGTAGAATTTCTAGTCTGAAGCCCAAGGCCCTGGCATACATCTGTGGCTGGAATTCTGGCCCCTCCCCAGCCTACCACCTGGAAGCCTCTGACTCTGGGTGTAGAGGTATGACAACTTCCCCAAATCTCAGACACCCCACAAGTTCTTGTTTGTACATATAACATCCAGACCCCTGGGGACAACAGTTTGCTGCCCCTGAGCAGCACTCAGCTCTGCTGCAATGCCCATGGGTCCTGCCTTCTGGGGCCCAGAGCAGCTGTCAAGATGAGGACGGGGCTGGAGGAGTCAGCAGCAGAGCAGGATGTTGGGGCTGGGGACTCTTTGGCCACCAGTGAGTAGCTAACCGCATTGGTCTCAAGCTTTGCTTCCTCTGCTCATACCCAGGCCTGTAAACCATCCTGCCTTGTGCCCTGTCTTCACCATCTGGGCCCCCTTACCCTGACCCAACTACCCCTGCTCCTCCCTGGGGCCCCTTCACCCAGTCCCAGCCTAGGGCCTCACTTCCCAAGGACCGCTCTGGACGAGGCTCTCTATTGGAACACTGGGGCGGCGCCCTGCCACTCCGAGACTCTACTCCTTCATCCTCCACAGAGCTCCTCTTATTCCACCTTCTGGTCTGCTCAGACCCCACCTCATGCCTCCTCTCCAGTCCAAACTGCTTCTAGGAGACTCTGCATGCTCACCTCACACCAGCCTGCCCTCTCCCTCCTGGCACTGCCTCAGTTCTCTACATCCGAGCCAGGCTGAGTGCTCTGTTCCTCAAAGACACCAGGCCTTCATTCCCTACCAGGCCTGTGCACAGGCTGTTCCTTCTGTCTGGGAACACCCTCTCCATCTGGCTCACCCCTTATCACTCTTCCAGGAAGCCTTCCAGGGCTAGCTTCATGAGTGTGTGATCTGTGCAGCTGCACAGGGCCCCAAACCTGAAAGTCCCATGCTGGGACCAGCAGATGGCATAATGGTTACGTCACTGGACTCACATGTAGTTGACCGCAGTTCGAGTCAAGGACCCAGCGGCTTGGAACTTAAATGGGTGCCTGTATGTGCATGCCCAAAATCCCAGGTGGAGAATGGAGGAGAAGGGACTGCAGCGTGATCATCCCCTCCGGGTGGTGATTTCTCACTTTTCTGTCTTTATGGCGAGCACCCATGCCCTATAGTAAAATCTCTCTCTTAAAAAAAAAAAAAAAAAAAAAAAAAGCCCCTTGTTTGGTTTAATTTTCTGCTGTCACTATCTTACAATTTTGAATAACTTTTTTTTTTGAGAGGTTTTTCACTATAGGGCGCATGCGCTCGCCAGACAGACAGAGAGAGACGGAGAGACAAAAAACGAGAAATCATCCCCCAGAGGGGATGGCCACGCCACAATCCCTTCTCCATTTTCCTCTTGGGATCTTGGGCACACATGCACATGCGCCTGGCATGGGTTTTAAGCCACCAGGTCTGGGACGCGAACCGCAGTCAACTACGTGGGAGTCCAGCAACATAGCCATTACGCTAACTGCTGGTTCCCACAATTTTGAATAACTTTTGAACAAACAATGCTGCATTTTTATTTTGCAATGGGCCCTGTAAATTAGGTGGCGGGACCAAAAGTCTTCCTGACCAGTTGTTTCCCACAGGAGTCGCATTCCTGTGTAGCTCTCAGCGCCCCGATCGCTTGTGTCACTGTTTTCCTGCTAGACCCTGAGAACAGCCCACATTTTGCTCCGTACTGCGGCCCCAGCACCCAGACCCCACAGGCCACAAGGCCATTCGTGAGCTGCCACCGGATGAACCAGTGACAGCTGCTTGCCCCATTCCCGTCATCTGGGCTCACATCATCATTGCCCAGAACATCGTAACCCAGAGCGCTTTGCTCTGGAGTCTTATAGGGTGCCCCCTAACCCCCACTCACCCACCCCCCTGCTGCCCTACGGTTTCCCAGCCCTCCTACTCTCACTCACTCTTCTGGCTGCCCCGTCCTCCCACCTCCAGCCTGTCCTCTTCTCCTGATCCTCTAGTGGCCTCTCAGACCACCACCTTGATGCTAAGCCTTCTGACCTTGGGCCCAGCCCAGTCAGAGCCCCCCTCCAGAGCCACATGGCTGCCCTGTTCTCCATTGAGCAGTGCCCCCACATACACTGGCACATCCTGAGCCAGCCTTCCAGCCTCAGCCAGGACAGTCTACTCCCCAGACACACCCGACCCCTCTCCTTGTTGTCTCCGAATGCCTCCTGGCCCCACGGCCTCTTCCCACAGAGAAATTCCAGGACATGGGGAGGGGGCACACCTGAACTCCCCGCACGCACTCACCTCCACACACCCTTTTCTACCCCTGTGCACCTCTGTAGTGGGGAAAGCAGGCGTGAGGCACCTGTCCCAGGTCAACGCCTCCACCCTCCCTGGGACCCAAGACAGAGTGGCTCGGGGAGCCGTGGGGCTGGAAATGAACCCTTCTGTGCTGCTTCTCCACCTAAGTCACTCACTCCTCAAGAAAACCAACCGAATGAGCCATGTTCCAGAGACCGTGCTTAGGCACAGACCAGGCTGAGTAAACTGACTTGGCTCTCAGAAGTCATAGAAAGCAAATGCCAAGGCATGGGCAGGGGGCATGGCAAGCCCAGTTACCTCCTCGAGGGGAAAGAGGGACAGCGTCCCCCACTGCGCAGGGTTAGGTTAGAGCCAGGGAGACAAGGTGCGTACCATGGCGAGCAGGGAAGAAAAGTGGACCCATACCTTCTGACTCTTAAATGGCTGCAGATGTGGAGGGGAGGCTGTCTTTTAGTCAGATTTGTTTTCTCTAGATCTTTGGTTCTCAATGGAGGCGACAAGGTACTTTTGTCCCCAGTTCCCAGGATGACA